GGGGTATTTGTCAAGTTTTATTTTATATATATGTATATATATTTATCACAACAATAGTAATGATAACGGTAATGATAATGAATTATAGGGCTATCCACCACCACCAGCTAACCCACCACTACCAAGTGGGCCAGCTCCACCGCCACCACCACAACCAAATTCTTCAACAAAACCTTCTGCTGCTACTACTGCTACTAATAATAATAATATTGCATATAATAGTAATAATTCATCGAATTTATATTCAACTACATCAAATGCTTATGGTCAATACCCAGCAGCGAATGCTCAAAGTGCTAATGCAAATGCCACCGCGTATAATCCTTATAATCCATACAATCAGTCCAGATACTATCAATATCCTCAATACAATTATTATTCACAAACCAATTCAACACAAGCAACCGACTATTCTAATTATTATTATGGATATTCAGGATATCCAGCTACTACTACTGCTGCTGCTACAGGATATCAAGCCAATACTGCAGCATATCCTACACAAACAACAGCAACAGCAGCAACAACAGCAACAACAGCAGCAGCCACCGCAACTACATCACCAACAACTGTAAGCTCTGCGGCAACTACATCACCTTATTCAACTGCTACTGCCACCACTGCCATTGGTACAGCAAATACTTCATCATCATCAGCTTACAATGCTAACGCAACAAGTTCTGCTGCATCTACATCATCATCTTCATATGAAGATAAAAAACAACCTACATCTTATCATGCAGTTCCACCACCAGACTTCTTATGAAAATGAGGTTAGTAAATATCGGTGAAGTTTTATTTAAAATTTCTTTTTTTATTTTTTTTTTTAAATAAAATTTTATAATATATATATATTTAAATAGTAAAATTAATTTTATTTTCTAACAAAGTGAAACAATATATATTTGTGTAAAAACGGTGCGCAATTGCGCACACTACTTACATAAAAGTTTTATTTTTCTTTAACTCCAAACTTATAAATTACAAAAATTATTTAGAGGCGAATCATTATTGGGATATTTAAAAACTTGAAATTTTCTTTAGCAACTAAAGCATATCTAAGAAGAAACAAAGTGAATAAGAAGATATATATATATATATATTAATTGATCGTTGTTTGATATCTCTCTTTCACTCTGGATCGACAATAATCGTATAAATTTTTTCTTTTCAGTTATATATATTATATTATAATTCTGTTATATTTTGTT